CTCCTAACCCTGGATTCCAAGATTGTTCTGAAAGACCTCTTTGGAATCTTGGAATCTTGGATCTTGGATTCCAGAGATTGAAATTCAATCTTTTCAATCTCTTTCAATCTCCGGAGTCGCGCCTTGAGCTAATGGAATTTGCTGCAGTATATGATTTCATTCAGGATTGAGACCTCAAATATAGAAAGTACTATCAATGCATTTAAAAAAGGTAGATCTTTGGGGGGGGGGGGTACCATATATATATATACGTATCTATACATATGACCTACTGCCAATATTTCCTTGTTAAGGCCCCCCATACTGGAGAATCAAATGGAAAAGAGCATGGGAAATGAAATGGAAACAGGGATTGTATAGGTATGCGGGTATGTAGGGTGGATAGTAAAAATCCTGCATGACCCTAAGTGCTTTCTAGCTTAGGAATTACGGTATTATAGTATACAAAGGTCATGCCGGAGTTTTTCAGTTTCAACAGTAGGCGGCTAAATTATCGCGGTTTTTATGGTCCTAGAGTCCTTTTATAATTATGGTATAGGAACGTAAAAGGGGGGGCTTGCGTAGTCAAGAGTCCAGACATAGCTTCAATTCAGGCGTTGAGATTATTAGTTGAAAGCCATGCAAGTATACCTTCGGTCTTGGATGTCCATGCCCTTACATGGTAGAAAGGGTAGGATATCCTGGTCGCAGTGGTTTTGGTCTAGGGTGTTCGCGCCTTGCTTCATAGGGCCTCTTGATGTGGAGGATAGTTGCATGCTGAGTAAGGGCGCATGTATGGATGATCGTGTCTTGTGTGTTCAGCAGAAATGGCAATGTCTCAAAGGAAGCAGTCGAAGGTATTGAACGAGCTACGGGGAAGCCTCCCACGAAGCTTCAATCTATCCTGCAGTAGTACCCGTGTCCCGCACATCTTTGCAACACTTGTGAATCAACTTCCGGCACTTCACAAGGATATGCGGGCAACCATGACGGGCTCGCAAGAAGTGAGCCCGTTGTTCATACGCGGAGTTGGTGCTCTCGACGAGCAACCTGTTTTCGCCTCCGCAACGTTAATGCTCTCCTGGTCCACGATGAAATCGTGCGGTCATGCTTCTGCGAGTGAAGCTTCAAAAACTTGTGAGCACGCGCGTCTGATTGCAAGTACCGTTGCCACAGTCGCCAACTCTGTCCGCCATTCCTGTTGCAGACTTGAGGAACTTGTTAGCATCTGGGTCAGGCAATATGGCGTCATAAATTCATGCAACTAGTACTGTACTTCATACTTGCTGTTCGCCTGGGTATCCTCATTTTGAATAATTGGCCCTCAACCCTGAACCCTAAGCTCAATTCTACATATGTTGGCCCTGGAGCAGATGGTGAAACCTTACCCCCTCGCAGGCTGCACGTTGGTGGAGCCCGTACAGCCCTCTTCAACTGGCTCTTTGCCAAGTCCCAGGGTGGGGAATTGGTCCTTCGCGTTGAGGCCGCATGGAGATTGTAGAGAGTTTTGGGTGACTGTATGTGTGTTGCGTATGACAGGGCTGGCAGTTTGAGATATGATGTCATTCATTACTCTACGAGTTCCTCATATGAGCCATAGGCTAAACTTCTTAAAGGGGGGTTATATAAGGGACTACTATAGGGGCTTACTAAAGGGGATACGAGGAGTTTAGACTATAGCTCATATGACAGTGACCCGAAAATGGCGCGAACATGGAAGTTTCCTACATGATGCCCAATAGGGACCCCCCATAGTCTCTTATCCTACTACAGCACCCTTATATCCCCCTCAAAATACTATAGCCCTATATAAACCCTATCATATAGTAGTTTCCATTTTCTTTTTCCATTATCCCTATATAACCCCTATAAAAACTTCATTGTCCCTATATAACCCCTATAAAACCCCATTTTCCCTATATAACCCCTATAAAGCCCTATAAACCCCTCTTTCGAGAAGCTCCATGCGAGGACACCGACATCGCCAGGTCCACGAAAGAGTCTGAAGCTGCGATCCTTGAGGACCCGGGGGGTTATACTATAGGCTTATAGTGTGGGGGGGGGGGGGTATAATATGGGGGGTAACATATAGGGGTTATCATGTAGGGGTAGAAAGGGGTTATAATATAGGGGCTAGAATATAGAGGCTATAATTTAGGGTTAGAGTATAGGGGGTATCATATAGGGTATAATATAGGGGTTACAATATAGGGGTTTTGATATAGGGGTCGCAATGTAGGGGTTCTAATTGCTGTGTGCAGGGTTTAACGGCTTAGATTTCTCGGGCTTTAGGGCTCTTCGGGGCGGATCTTAGCATATGTACCATAGTCTAGACCCCTAGTATCCCCCTTAATAAGCCTTATAATACCCCCTATATACAGTAATCCCCCATATAACTCCTTTCAGGAGTTTAGATTACAGCTCATATGGATCCTGGCAAGTCCTGTAGATCACCATGGATGCTTATATTTTTCCTGGGCTTACCAGCCAGGCCTGGTATTTGTTCAAGGGGACTTGTCTTCCAGCAAATGTTCGGATATTGCGGTTACCAAAGATGCCTAGTTGCTTCGTATCGAGATCAGTAGTTGTTTTTGCTGGTGGGGCTCATTGCATGCCATTCTGCGCTTACGCTATGCTTACTGGTTCTCAGTAGGGATATGCGACTACGTTATATAGGGACTATATACGCTAGGTTCCTACTAAGGACCAGTAAGTATTCTTGCTTTGCAGGGGCTGAAATGGTGTGGGATCACCTGGGACGAGGGTCCCGATGTGGGGGGCGAACATGGGCCATATCGCCAGTCCGAGCGCATCCAGGCCCGGATTGCTGGTTGCAAGTAGCTACGACGAAATCTTACAATGAAAAGTTCTGCCTATTTGTTTATAGAATATTCTTATAGACATGCTGGCTGTATGAAGTGGCATTCAAATTACTGCTTCAAGGTATGATTTGCCAGGGTAGTTTTGCAGGCGTCACTGCCTAGTATGTGTGTTTTTTTTCATGGTGGTGGTGTCTGCTATCACTTTTGCGATTTACTTGGCCATCTGTCAAAACCGGGATCTAACCTCAGGATGAACCTCCAGGTTTTGAGAACTTGCAACCATACCCCAATATTGTGACCCTTATATAAGCCCTATCTCTGTATATGTATATATATATATAAACATCTTTCGTTGATTAGGTCGTGGTTGAGCAGCTGCTGGAAGCTTCCAAAATTTGCGTAGCACAAGCGCAGATTCTATTGCTCTCAAAATTTCATCGAATACGGATCCTTATGGATTTCCCTAAAGTGGTTTTATATTGGGTTCCCCCATTTTTGTAGAAACCAGCCTATTGCTCTCAAAATTTCATCGAATACGGATCCTTATGGATTTCCCTAAAGTGGTTTTATATTGGGTTCCCCCATTTTTGTAGAAACCAGCAGATGAGTTTTTCTACTTATTACTTGGGCAACCTCCCAGTTGCCTTAATAGGCGCTACTTTTGAGGCTCAAAGGGCCTGATATATAGTCACAGCCAGGGTTTAGGGTTTAGTCATCTACAGTTAAACCTTCACATGTAGTTTACAGGATTGCGTAAATGCTTACCCAGACCTTGGACACCCCATGTATTCAGTTTGGTCCACATCAAGACTCACCCAACCTCAAAAACTTGTTAATGTTAAGGAACTTAGTTTGAGTTATTATATTGGGGAAACATTTTTCATTACTACATATACCTATTACGGTAACTTACATTATATTGGGGAAACACTATTAATTACTACATATACCTATTATGGTAACTTATTTTAAGTTCCTTAACAGCAACCCAGTTAAAGGACAATCTGGGGGATGGGCTCCTGGGGCTTCCTCTTACTTCGGTCAGCAGGGAACGCGGGAAAGGAAAAGAACATGGACACTGCCTTATCTTTGGGTTTATGTAGGGCATGACATATCAGGGAGTTTTCCTTTGTACCCTTAGGGTTTGTACCCTTGGGTTTTGGGTCACTAAACCATGGAATATGGCCCTCAATAAGGGTATTTGGGACCCCAAACTTAGGGGCACAAACATTAAGGGTACAAACTTAAAGCCTTTGAATATAGGGACTACCAGGATGCAATTTCTTCATTCCTTCCTCTGGTTGGCTGGGCCTTAGCAACCTCAAGCTCCCATTTTTGCCGTCAGGTAGGGTCTAGGTTTAGGATTTTGGGGTGGAGCATATGAGGTTTAGGGTGCAGGGGCTTGGGGCTTCGGGTTAAGGGCCAAACCTGAGAGGCCGGTGAATTCCCATGTCAAAGTCTGGCGTAGTTTTTGACAGGGATATAGTTCCCCTTAAGTAGCTAGAATATGGGCTATATGGGGATCTTATTATACTGTACCCAAAGCCATATTCTATCTACTCACGGGGGACTATATCTTCCAGAAACTGGAGCTCCCCTACCAACACACGCCCAAATGTTGTCCTCCGAATTACTCAGCATGTAAAAATCACTAAATGTTGAGGTTTTTTTTAGCAAATATTGACTGTAGCTCATATAAGCTTATTTCCGTATATACCATGCCATATCCATCTCTATACCCCCCCTTTCCATGGTGGAGGCTGCTATCCGTCCGTAGACCCTAAATTCTCAACCCTAAACCCTACTTGGATGATCGTTTGACAAAGTAAATCTACCTACTATGCCGAATAACCCCTATTATAAGCTTTATAACCCAAGACTCAGTCAAGAGATCCTCCAAGTAAACCCTAAAAACCTCGAAAACCTAAACCCCCTTTTCACAGTGGAGGCTGGTATCTACGAGAAGCAGCTTGAGAAGCTGATGGCAGAAGGCCATGCTTACAGATGTTTCCTCAGCCCGGAGGCCAGGCTCTTTAGGGTTTAGGGTTTAGGGTTTAGGGTTGAAACTGGGGGAATCTGGAGTTTAGGGTTTAGGGGTTCCAGGGCTTTCAGGGTTTTAGGGATGAGGGTTTAGGGATGAGGGTTTAGGGTTGAGGGTTTAGGGTTTAGGGTTGAGGGTTTCGGGGTTCTAGGGGTTCTAGGGTTGAGGGTTTAGGGGTTCTAGGGGTTTAAGGGGTTTCAGGGTTTAGGATGCAGGGTTGGGGGTCTATAGCGGATTAGGATACCAAGGGCATATGGGGATGATACAGGGATGTACTATCCGAATGTGGGAACATCAGATGAAAAAGGACATGCAACATGAATTTTACAGCTTGAGCTGGCTTAAGGGTTTAGGGATGTAAAATCCAAATGGAAGCCCTTTTGGGGTTCAGTGTTCAGAAATTGAGAAGAACATGGAAAATGTTTTAGGTTTAGGGTTTAGGGCATTAACTTACCGGTGCTGGCGGGGGGGGGGAGTGCGGAGGGAATCTGGGGCCTAGGGCATCTATAAGGTTTAAGGTTGGTTCAAAGGGGGGTTAGGAAGGTTTAAGGTTCAGGGTTTAGGGTTTAGAGGGTTATTCTTGGTCTAAGCCCATTCCAGGATGGGAGTTACCGTGTCGGGACCTTACATAAGCCTTATATACCGTCATATAATTCCCATGCTCCCTACATTCCCCTTGTATACACTCTTATGTAAACTCCCTATGAGTGTGTAACACAAGGGCCAAAATTACTAATTACAACATTGGGCTTTCCCAAGGAAGGGGGTGACTTTTTTTGGTATACTTTTTTGGGGTCTACAGCGGGGTCCCGCCATTTAGAAAACCTACCATATGATATTTTTCCGCTGTAACCCATATGTAGCCAACATATAATGTACCCTGAAATCCTTTCCTAGTTAGTGAGACCCCTGCATCAAGTCAGGGGACGCTTTGTAGGCTTCCATTCAAACTCAAGCTGTAGTGTAGATAGAGAGGCCACAGTTTCAGTTGTAGGGCTGCCCCTAAACCCTAAACCCTGGCTCCACATGTCCCAGTTCTACGGCAACTCCACCACACTCACCAAAGCCAGGGTACATACCCTTGTTACTTTAGGGTTTAGGGTTGTGACCAAAGCAATTAGACAGCAATTAGGACCTATCACAGTCATATGATAAATACAGGGTGATTCCTTTAAGTTGAAGGGCCGGGGTTATTAAAATCCGTTTATCCAGGAGGTTCACATCTGTGCTTGGCTTTGGAGAGCGCTCCTTGGAAATGCAGTTTCCTGCAGCTGTCTGATTGGGGCCCTCTTACAGTGGGCCAAACGAATCTCGAGAGTGCGATGGAGGATAGTCTGTACCACATAGGATCCCAATGTACGGTCGTTTTTGGGGTATCGGGTGTACACAGTGCTACAAGTTTTTTTCTAAAACTTAAACCCTCAACACTGAGCCATAAATCCTTAACCCTGAATCCCTAAACTCCAAAGCCTTATTTAAACAACAAACCCCAAACCCCAAACCCAAAACCTTGATCCAGAAACAATAAGCCCCAAATCCTGCACCACAGGAGCTGGATGAGATGCGCGCAGAAGCGGAAAGGAACGAGCAGGCCCAGCTAGCAAAGCCTGAGCTATATGCGGAAGGTTGGGTGGTATGGGCGGAGAGTGATAGTGATGGGTAGGAGAGGAGGGAGGAAAAGGAAGAAAGTAAGGTGGTTAGCTGTGGTGATATGTGGGTTGATCGAACAACTATCACTGATGTCCCCGAAACCTGTCATGGCTCTTTATAGCTCAGGCATGCTCCAAACATCATCCCGCCAAAATCTTCAAACAAAATCTCCAGAACCCCTAACTCCCCTAGGACCTAAACTCCCTAGGCTTTCGTTGTGCAGAGCCCCTGGGCAAATGCATCCGAAGAGGAGGTACAGGCGGCGCCGGCAGCTTCGTCTAAGCCAGATCTGATACCCCAAAGGGGGAATGTGGAGTAGCCATACACCCCAGACCCCCAAAGGGATCTAAAAATTAGATCCCCTAGAACCATATGGTAAATTATATACGGATTATGTAGGGGTTATCATGAGCCTATATAGGGGATCTAATTTTTAGATCCTCCCAGGGGTCTGGGACTGGTTGTGTGGTGTGTGGCTGCTATGGTAGTATGTGAGCCATAGTCTAAACTCCTAGTACCCCCTCAATAACCCCTATAGCAGTCCCCTATATAATCCCTATATCACTCCCTTTAAGGAGTTTAGANNNNGGGGGGGGGGGGGGGTCGTCCTTTGATGGTGATGGTCTTCTGAATGACGCTGTTCCTCAACCTCCGGCAGGCCATGATCGACAAGGGCAAGCCGTACGTGTACAGATTCAGAGTCCCTTTCGACAGGCGCGGGAAATTCTTTGTAAAAAATACGCGTTGCAAGAAGCTATGCAGAGATGTCTCTGAAGCTCGCGCTTCTACCCTCAGATTTTGACCTAGAATCTATGAGGTTGCGTGTCTCGGGTTTGGGAAAGGGAGCCATGAGTCGCTAGGATCCTTTCTTCAAAAACGCCCGAAAATAGCCAGTACCCTGGTGAACATATCTATTCGCAGCTCCTCGGCTTCAAGCCCGGGGTATCATTCGCCCCAAGCCCTCAACAACCAAAATGGCAATCTTTAAAAGTAATGCTTCCTTTGTGGGCATCACGAATCTTCTATGCCTTAAACCTAAAACTGCTCAACGGAATCCCTGAACGTCGGGACAGTCATGCTGCCAGAACAAGCCTGGCAAAGAGCAAAAGCACACACCCTTATCTTTTTCCAGCTTGTAGCAACCGATCCGGAAGGTCTTGAATCTTCGGAAATTACCATGCGTTTTCGCCAGGGAAATCGTGGTGGATGATCTGGTGCTGGGAGAGGTTGGAATGTTTTTTGCACGAGGGTTCAGGATTTGGGTCTAGGCTTAGACCCTAGAGGCCTAAACCCTAAAGGTTGTACGGTTCAAGGTTTGAGCTTCAGGGCTTTATGAGTCTTCTGGATTCAGCCTATGGGTCCAGGGTTTCGGCTTCCAAGATTTGGTTTAGGATTTAGGGTTGTTCCAAAGAAGCATAGAATCCCGCGCTCGTTGCTTGATAGAGATCATTCGGTTTAGGGTTTAGGGTTGCTCCAAAGGAGCATAGAACCCCATGCTCGTTGCTTGATAGAAATCGTTCGGATAAGGATTTAGGGCTGAGGATTTGGGGTTCAGGGCTTCGCATGGATCAGCTAGAATTTGAGGTCTCCGATGAAGGACACATCAGGTTTGTTTGTCAGGTTGACGAGGCTTCCCAAGAGGAACTGGGAGTACCTCGCGGACTACGTGTCCTCTGAAAGCGTGTTCGTTTACTCTCTCAGTGCCCCTTGTAGGAGACGTTTCAATAACAGTGGCAGTTTCCCTAAACAAGGGGACCCCAATAAAGACCCCAAAATATTATAATCCTTATCATTATAGGGACACCCAAAAAGTACCACCCCGCCAGATTTGGGAAAGCCCCAAGTAGCCGGCTCTGTCCTAAGAGGCAGGTGCTTGTTTTGCAAAAGTATTGCATCTTCACCAGTATACCTCAAATATGTTCATAACCATGCAGGGATCGCGCGCCATATCTTTTTCCATGACTCGTCAGTGTTCTCTGAAAAAATGTGCAGGAACAAGTTTCAGATAGTTTGTATGGAGCTGAACGCTTTATCAAGCTATTTAGAAATCAGCCTCAGACCAGAATCCGGGACAGCCATCTTTTGTTATCCATTTACAATTTGTTTTGGTTTCTGTACGTCTCGCAATTATTTGCTGGAAGTCTATCATAACGTCAGTCTTCTGGGCTGAGACTTACAACTCCTGAAGCCAAAGATTATCCAGAATTGTGGTCTGACCCTGGGGCTGAAGGCTTTGGGACTGGTCTCTTCAGAAATGTCACATTTCCGGCTACTTCAGCTTGCTTAAGAATAGTTAGGATGAACAGAAGCTACTCAAGGGAGAAGCTTGGGGGGTTGGTGCGGTGGTGGCGGCTGTCAAAAAAAACCACAAGGTTTGCACTCTCTATGGATGTACCCTACAAAGTTAGTCTACCTTGAGCCCCATAGACATCTCATTGCACGAAGTATAACAGGTATCTAAGCGCCCCAGGATTGAGGGCCCAGTGCTAGGGGCACATGGTTGACTCAAAGAGCAGGACGCTAAACTAAACAATCCTTAAACCCTAAACTCTAAACCCTAAACCCTAGTCGGCCAGGTGATTTGGAACTCTGACGATCTCGGCGGCGATTTCGTCATAGTTCGTCAGAATGGCCGGTTCCCAAGCTTTTCGTTAGGCTAGGGATATAGGGTTTAGAGTTTGAAACGGTTTCGGGTTTAGGGTTTAGGGTTGAGGGATAGGGTTTAGGCTTGAGGGATTAGGGCGAATAGGGTCTAGGGAGTAGGGTTTAGGGTTGAATATTTTCCTCTATTCCCATAATGGAGAATCAAACGAACAGGTCGCAATAATGGAGACCCACATGGAGAATGACATGGAAACTTGATCCGGCGAATGTGTACCGACTCTGTCCCCTTGAAGAAACTGAGGGTTTAGGGTTAAGGGCCGGAAGAACTGGTAGGCCTAAATAATTACCAATGTCAAACGGGAAAGAAAATGGGATTTGAAAGCTGGGTTTAAATCGAAGCTTGAATTGTAGCCTCCATAGCCAGTGGGACCTCCATACTGATTCTAAAAACGACAATCCTTCTTATAAGGACCTTCAAAACGGGATCCTTAGTTTTTGGAGCACCCCCCCCCTCCCCTTATGTGAAGAAAGCCCGCCTTGAAACCTTCAACCCTAAACCCTAAACCCTAAACCCTAAACCTTAAACCCTAAACCTTAAACCCTAAACCCTATACCCTAAGCCCTAAACCCCGGCCCCAAACCCGAAGCCCTAAACCTCTCAGGCATGCCCATGTACAATTTTGGCGTCGTCGTTGATGACGCTTCCATGGGCATTACTCATGTGCTCAGAGCCCAGGATCTGCTTCCGGGCTCAGGGGTTTAGGGTTTAGGGTTTAGGGTTTGATGCTGATCTGGGACTTTCCACAAATTAGGGTTCAGGGTTCGAGGGGCCCATGATGAGGATTTTTTTGGGGCTTATGTTAAGTATAAGTTGTGTATGTCCCCCTGACAGCAAATGTCCATATAGGGTTTCTATTCAGGGGCTGTAGAACTCCTAGTACGTCTTGGTGTAACCGTTACTGTAGGGGTGGATAACCTTAAGTGTGATGGGTTTAGGGTTCTGGAAACGCTGAACCTCAAATCCTAAACCCTAAATCCTAAGATAAGTTTTGGAAACTCCCATCTCCGGTTTGATGCAGAGATTGCTGCTGAGAATGCAACAGAATCTTCGTGCAAGGTCACACGCAACCCTTACAACTCCCTACTACTGCAATTCAGTTGCCAGTTCATTTCCCTTGTTTTCCATTTCGCTCTCCATTATGGTGCATGAATGACGCTTGAGTGAGATCAGCATCTGCTTTAAGCATGCATGAATGCACGCTGGTGGATGCCTGTGTGGTCGTGTAGTTCTCAGCATATAATTTAGGCGGGTTTAAAGAAAATGGAAACTAGAATGGAACCCAGCTCACAGAGTTTGTATAGGGTTGTTCGATGTACGTAGAAGCCTGAATCATTTTTAATGGTCGCCCCTTACAAGCTTGTAACCCGTAAGCGAGTACAGCGTAATGTGCCTCAATGCCTGGTTTTCTAGGCTTCTCAGGATCCGTCGCGCATGAGGCATGAGAGCTTTGACGTTGCACTGTCCCCCATTGTCGCGGTGGCATGGTAGTAAAAGTGTTTGCCGCCAACTATCTCGCAACAGCTCCTGACGGTCCTCACTTGTCTGCCTGGAAGATGTGTAGGGAAACGTCGTAGGACACCCAGGAAGGAACGGTGGATGCTGGAAATCCGGCATGACCCTAAGTATCTGATGCCTTCGCGATAGCTTTGGAATTATTTATAATACTGTAGTATAGCAAGGTCATGTAAGATCTCTCTAGTATTAACAGAATTATGTGTGACGAGGTCCCTGTGAATTTGTCGCGATTCCCGTGGGACTGTGGAGAATGTTTGCAGGAGCACCTGATGAACACGCCCCGCCAGATTCTGATGTACGAAGCCTTGGGCCTAAAGGTGGGATACGAGCCCTTCATATTAGCTATTGTTAGTATAAGCCTTACTAAGGGGCCCTTAACAGTGGACATAGGGGTCCCTCTTGTAGTTCAGTATAGTCCCTAAGAATGAGCCCATGTCCATTACATGATGTAGGAAATATTGACTTTAGCTCGATAAAGACTAGAAGGGGATTACCAGCTTCGCCATGTAGAGCTTTGTGCGGCATTTGTTTGGACTTTGGTTTCGCACAGATCTTGTTTCGAGGAGCAGTAAGGTATCCCATAATATGGCACGAGCCTGTCTTGGCCTGGTCTCCCGAAAAAAACACCTTTAACAATGTAGAAGCTGAAGCAGTTACCACTATCATCCCCAAACCCAATTGTAATAACCTTCTCCAAGCGAACATGGAACCTGAAAAAGGCTCTTTAACAAGGACAGTAGTCAGTAGTCTAACCAGGGCCCCTTTTCAGGCTCCATGTTAGATGGGAAGAGTGTAAGCAGGCTCCTGCAGTTTTATACCTGTCGCTATCCGCAAAGCATAGAGGATCCAGAGTGTGGCATCCGAGTAGGTGTTCTGCAGGGCAGCCGTGCTTCTGTAGGAAGTCAAAGACTTTGAGTTTGTACGCTTAAGGTTTGTTGCCTTGGGTTTAAATTCCCAAATACTGGGTTGCGGTTAAGGAACTTAAATTTAAGTTACTATATTGGGGAAACCATATTAGCTACAAGATGCACCCATTAATTATGGTAACTTAATTTAAATTCCTTAACAGCAACCCATAATACCCGAAGTGAGGTCTATATTCCGTGGCTTAGGGTTCAAAACCCAGGGGTACAAACCGTAAGGGTACCAAGGACTCGCTGAGGGAAAAGCCTAGCTTCCCGCAGATGCGTGCAGACGTTTTTCAACCTGCACTTCCTCGGCCAATCGTTTTAGGGTTTAGGCCGCATTTTATTTGGGGTACTATGGCCCAATATAGAGTAAGATCATAACCTTCCTTTAGGTATGGTATGTCGTAAGCACAAAATATCTTACTTGGTTCAACCACCAAGAACAATGCTACTCACCTGGGGATGAGCCAGTTAGGCAAACTCGCATGCTAAGAGTCGTACAGTGAACTAAGTAGTGCGTACTAAATCCTATCCCTAGACCCACTTAAGCTACTTGATATGCCCTCGACCCTAAATCCTATCCCTAGACCCGCTCCAGCTAGTTGATATGCCTCCCACCCGGTGCAACAAGGCCCCGGCAAGAAAAAAACACCCCTCGTAGTAAGAAATGTTGCCACTGTATCCTAGAGTACGATGCTAGGAGTTTATTAGGGGTTGAGAGGTTGGATCATAGTGATGAGGGGAGTCGCGTAATCCGAAACTCTTACATCGGCCGGCAGGTGCCTACGTTCGGACACATGCCCCTGATCCTCGCCCCGGACCGTCTCCCCAACATTCATTTCGGTTTAAGGGCTTGGCGTTGGTTCAAAGCTTTCGGTGGGTTTCGGCTTTGGGGTGGCTTTGAGATTTCAAGTTTGCGGTTGAGGCTCTAGGTTTAGGGCTTTGGGTGCAGGGTATGAATTAGCTTGGGGTTCAGGACTTTCGGATTCCATATTCCTAAAGACCACAAAACATGAAGATCCATCCCCCGCCCGCCAAGGCTCTATGCAATTCTCAACTTCGGGACCTTCATTATGATACGCAGAGGGTACACTTCTCATGTTTGGGGGGCTGCAGACTATCGGCCAGGGGACTGCTAACTTGACATGGCCTTGGGGAGCTTCAAAGAGCAGCAAGATGGTACCCCCCCAAAAAATCTTCTAGACACTTACATGAGTCATGATCTAAACGCCCTAAAGGGGGTTTATATACGGGATTATATAGGGGACTACTATAGGGCTAAATAAGGGGGATACTCGTAGTTCAGACTATAGCTCACATGAAGCCAGTTTCCATTTAATGTTCCATTTTCTTTTCCGTTTGATGTTCCATCATAGGGAGGTAATATTCTTACGCCCTATGCCTGTAACTAGGGGAACCCCAAAAGCTTTACCCTAAGCCCTCGACCTGAAACCTACAACATCCCCATCTGGCAGCTGGTCAAAATCCTGGTCCTGTCTAAGGTCCCCCTCATGACATGGGCTTGTAAACCCTAAACCCTAAACCCTAAACCCTAGACGGAGGAAGCACCCAGCAAAAAAGGCGCCAACCCAAAACCCTGCCCTTCGGCAATATGCCTTTGCTCTCTAGCCGCCCTCCAGTCCCACTGAGGAACCCCTTTAAAGTAACCCTAAGGGTCCAAGTACCTAATAATTAGCTACTTGGCTTTGGGGTAATAGTAATTGTAGTACAGGTTTTGGGTAAGTATATGATTATTAGGTACTTGGACCCTTAGGGTAATTAGTCCTTACCTTAATCCTTGGTCCTCCCAGTATGCCTCAATGGCTTGTGTGGAGGACCGCACCAAGCTGTCCAAGCGACATGGGGCTGTTTCTGTTGGGGAGCCAGGGCCCAACCTCTGCCTTCTCTGGGTTGCTGTTGAAGAACTTACCCTAAGGGTCCAAGTACCCAATATTTAGGTACTTGGGATCTGGATAATAGTAGTTATAGTATAGGTTTTAGGTAAGTATATGATTATTGGGTACCTGGACCCTTAGGGCTAGGTTAAGCTACCATATTTTGGGTATAGAGGGTTCAGGGTTTAGGGTACCACATTATGCGTATATAGTAAGTAAAGGGTTTCCTTATTCTAGTCATTTTAAAGGGTCCGTAACAGCAACACCATTCTTATGGGTATGGGGTTCCCTTCTTTGGTAACTCCCAAAACGAGTCTTTCTTCAGGCACCCCAAAACTGGCCCCCAAGATTGATGGAAACTCCGGACACGCAAGCTAGAATGGCACCCATATTCTCTCACCTAAGCTGTCCTTGTTGAGTTCGGGGTTCTCTAACCTAGGCGCCCTTCGCAGTTGTGATTTATGTTCAGTTTTGTCTAGGCCCTCCTCAGGAGGAACGTATGGAGGGAGGGACTCTAGCGTGATAGATGGCTGCATTGGGCATTCTATATTGTTACGTCGGTATCATAAAGGGAGCATATACGGGTCAAGCAGGTTTGAGAATGGGCTACTTGAGCTTGATCTTCAATTCGACTTGCGATGGCAATGAGCAAGGTTTGCAATCATCGTTACTGTGTGGAGCACGTGGGTAGGGATCCTTTTTCGATTTGAGGCAAATTGGATTTCATGGTCAGGTTGTAGGCATGTGTGTCCCTAAACCCTAAACTCTAAACCCTAAACCCTAAACCCTGTCCTCTACAACCATGGTGAACTATGCTACACGAGGGGTTGGACTCCAACGAGAGATGCAAGAGATAACCCAGCCAGAGCTATAATCCCTATATGAGCTATAGTGAAAAACTCCTTAAAAGGGCTTATAAAAGGAATTATATAGGGGAGTATTCTAGGGCTTATTAAGGGGATACTAGGCGTTTAGACTATAGTTCATATAATCCCTATAATCCTTGTAGTTTCCATTTTCTCTTCCCTTATCCTGATATATCTCCAGTTTATCCCCAAACGCTAAACCCTAATCCTGAACCCTAAGCTCCGAAGACACAGCTTCACCATGGAACAGGAGCCGGGAGTGGTGGTCGTAGCACCACTCGGCCCAGGGGGCCAAGCCAGGGAGGCGCAAACGTATTTGCCGAAGAAGGGCAGCACGGTCGACTGTGTTGAAAGCGCTCTGAAAGTCAACCTTCAGGAACAGCTTATCGGCGTGGCCCGTGTTGCGCTGCATCCACTGCCGGGCCGTGTGGACCGCGGCCTCGGCTCCAGAAGGCACTGCCACTCCAACTTGCAAGGGCCACAAGGCTGTCCGGAACTCCTGCAAAGCGCGGCACAAGCACTTGCTAACAAGCCGCCTCCAGACTTCACCCACAGCAATGGGACGGAGGTCCCCCGCAGGCTTAGGTAAGGCGTGCAGGGTGGCCCCGGCAAGGTGGGGAGCAACCTCAAGAGGGGCATTGCTGGCAGTGAGGAAGCGGACAAACTCCGTCATGTGAGCCGCAACCTCGTCCCCATGCGCAGAGTTGAGAGCCTGTCGGATGTGGTCGGCCCGCAGCCCAGTGGGCCCTGGAGCACTGCCAGTGCGAAAGCTCCGGGCGGCAGTAACAACCTGCTCTTCGGGGCCGGGCCGAGAGATTGCAAGTTCGGCCGTGCAGGATGGGCTTGAGGATGCTTTGAATGCAGGGAGTCAGGCGCCCCCTGTGCTCCATCCAGAGGAGGCGGGTCCACCAAGGCACTGCAGGCTCGAGAGAGCTCACCTTCGGCTGCAAGGGCCTTGCACCGCGCGTGGCGGCGGGCGAGTTCAGCAGCCTGCCCCTCTTCGCTGTCTGCAACCGAACGCAGCCTAGATTGCCGGGCTCGCCCGTTGTCATTCCAGAGCTCTTCGCGCTCGCCCTCATCGCAGAAGCCTCTTCCCGGCTGGCATCCGGGTCAATCAAACTGGCGCCATGTCGTTGCTCGGAGCAGCCATAGGCCCGGAGCGCGTTGCAAAGGCTCGGGAACTACTTGCCGCCTTGGCTGACCTTCCGGACCCCTAGACTGGACTGCTGCTTCGCCACTGTGCTGCTTTTTGCCGCATTGCGTACGCCCTGCGAGTCACCCCCTCAGAGCTGCTGGGCCCGGCCGCTGCTACATTCGATGACGAGGTCCGTGCCTGCTTAGAGCGGCTATGCACTGGGCCTTTGACTGCTGAAGCTTGGAGCCAGGCGGAGACCTGCAGCCTCACGACCGCTTCCCTCACCAGGCGCCGCCTAACCTTCGGCAGCAGCAGCTGTCACAGGCACTGGACAGGGCTGTGGTCGCTGAGCTGCTCGTGCCGAGCCCGGGCAGGGAGGCTGCTTCAGGCAGCACCCAATGAGGCTTTATAGGCCTGGCTGTTACACCCGAGCTGTTCCGGACCATGGTGGCTTCAGCTGCCTGTCATGGACTCAGACGCTGCCTGCCCAATCTGTGATGGAGTCGCAGACAGGTTTGGTGACCATGCCCATACCTGCCCGTGCGGTGGAGACCGCACCAAGACGCACCACCGCCTGCGCAACCTTGTGGCTGCGCGGGCCAAGGCTGCTGGCCTGAGTCCTGAGCTGGAAAAGCCGGGCCTCCTTCCTCCCCGCCCTGAACTTGCAGGTTGCGCGGGATGGTGCTCGCTCTGGGGGGCCGGCGACTGGCTGACGTCTGGCTGCCCAACTGAGGCCTCCACGGCCCGGCCGCTTTTCGGGCATGCGTCCGGGTCAGCTGGCTCGTGTGGCTGCGGGCGCCTGCCGCTGATTATGAGGCCCACAAGCGGAGCCACGTTGACACTGAAGCGCAGTGCGCTGCTGAAGGCATACAGTTCGTGCCTTTGGTGGCAGAGGCCCATGGAGGCTGGCGCAGCAGGCGTGGACTGCGCTGGCTCAAGCCATCTCTACAGGACCGGGGAGGCCCTGTCACTTGAGACAGACAGGCTCCACCAGGCTCTGGCGCTGACCCTGCAGCGGGAAAATGCTTGGGCCGTTTTGCGGCGCATCCTGGCTGCGGAGGGCAATCTGGAGACACAAGTCCTGCCTAACCCGTGAGCCCCGGCTTTGATCACATACAGGCTGCAGCAGTGGCCGTACACTCTACTCACCATGCAGCTCAGATGCCTGGCCACTGCGGCCGCCCTTTGCACGCAACAGTCGTGTGCATGGTTCTCAACTGTCCTGATTTTGCTCTTGATTCTGTTTCTGATATAGCCACAGTCACTCCACATGCCGAGCGCATTTGGGGGGATCCCTCAGCCTACAGAGCTGTGTGGTTTGTTCGTGCAGCTGCAGGAGACAGTTGGTGTCTCACCATGAAACCATTGTGACTTTGGCACTTGTATTGTTCATGTGTTAACTATAACCCTAATCTCTAATCCCTCTTGGGGCCTATCCTTCCATCCAGATTCTGGGCCTTGAATTTCTGCAGCTGTTTGCCAGGGTTCTGAATCGGCTTGCTGAGGGTTGCTGTGCTTTTCTGGATTGGTGGAGTGGTGCCTGAAGGCTCTGTAAGTGGGCCTGCAGACACTCTCACCTTCTTCGTGTGGATGCAAGGGCTGAAGGGCTTTTCCTGGAGCTGTTAACTGGCCTGGCCAGCTGGCTTTCCGACTGCACAGCAAGTTGGAAAAAGGTCCGATAAAAAGACCTCAAGCCCTATATGATATGTTCCCTAATTCCCTACTCAGAACCACTAAGGTGTGGGCAATTCAAAGTGACCTCAGCTGACCTCGCCCCAAATGGTGGTTTATATAGGGAATAGTACCAAATGGCCTTAAATTGGGAATTGAAGTTATTCTAAATTTCCCCTGCTTTAAGTTGTGTGGAGCTTGAGGTATCAGAAGCGTGGCTACTTGCCATCAGGCATGGCTCAGCACTCAGACAGCTCTTCAAACGATGCCACGAACGGTTGAGGTTTTTAGGGTTTAAGGTTTCGGGTTAGGTGTTTAGCATTTGGGGTTTAGAGTTTCAGGGTTTAGGGATGTAGGGTTTGCAGGGTTTAGGGTTTTAGGGTTCGGGGGTTTTGAACTTATTGGTTGCTCGGGCGAATGGAGGCAACAAAAACTGTAGTAGCCCTTATTTACTCCCTAGTACTCGGGCCATTTCCTCCTAAACCCTGCAAGGCGGGGGTCTCGGGCTTCAGGGTGAAGAATGCTCAGTTGCTCGCGCTTAGCCCTAGCTTTTAGAGGTTTAAGTTGTGTTTAGGGCTTAGGGCTTCTTAGGGTTGCCAAGCTATATGTTCTGCACATGCAGGTATGTACATATTCTCATGCACTGTTGAAACTTTCCATTGCTAGAAAAGTCCACTAAGGAACAGTAGAATTTTTGCTTGAAAAAGCTCCCATAAAGAAACCTGCGTTTGGCTCATTCAGAGAAGGTACTTTACCCAAATAGGAGACCCCTATATAGATCCCAACATACTAGAGTAGGGACCCCCAAACAAGGCACCCCTAATTTTGGGAAACCTTCAGCCATAAACCCTAAACCCTGTGAATCCTAATATTCCCCTATCTGGCCCCTAGAACCCCTTTGAAGGTACGCCTAATTGTGGGAAAACTCAGATCTAGCCTCAGGTCAACTACCTGTCCCAGCTGGGTTGGAATGACGGGACAAAGCAGGCGTTTAGGGTTTAGGGTTGAGCGTTTTTAGGGTTGGGTTTTAGGGTTAAGGGTTCGGGGTTGAAGGTATGGGGCTCAGGGTTGAGAGTTGTCTCGTCTCGGCTTAGATGATTATCCCCTCCCCACAATAACAGCTCCCAGTCCCTTATCACTGTGACAAGAACAATACCAACAATATAGTACCATCATGGATTAGGGAGAATGCTCATTATTGGGGGTAGGGCCTGCTACTACAGCAGCGGATTCCAAGGAGTTTGATAAAGGACCCTATAAGGGTCATTGTCTAGTCACGGCTTCCTGATTTTTGGGCTTGGGGTACGTAATTCAAATCCCCGTGTCGTTGCAGGCCACCATGCTGCGACAATTTGTGCCTTACAGTTTATAGCCAGAATCATAGCTTACACATGTGCTTCATAGTAGGCCTAACTAGCTTACCTTCAGCTTGGCGTCCTTAATAGGGCTGCCTGGAGCTCAGTGCTGACCTTCACTTTTCACAGTTGGTGTCTTGCGCGTCCCAACCCTGACATGGGTGTCAAACTTCTTTTGGGCGGGCTGCGGCTAGACAAGCAGCTGTACCGGCTAGGGGTTATATAGGGGTTATGTAGGGAAAATGGAAAAGAAAATGGAAACTACAAGGATTATAGGGGCTATAAAGGGATTACAGGGTATAGATTGGGGTTATGAAAGGATAATGGAAAAGAGCATGGAAAGTACGTACTATAATGGGTTTAGGGTTGGGGGTCATGGGGTTGCGGCTTCAGCTTCTTTAGCGTGTCTAAGACTAGCGCGTTTGCTGAACTTCTTTGGTGAGTACAGAGAGAAGCAGCTGTACTGGGATGGCACTTTCCATGCTCACCTGCCATGCTAAGAGTTTGAAGGGTCTTGGGAGCTGCCGCCATATGAGCCATAGTCTAAACTCCTAGTATCCTGATATAATGCCTTATTTAGCCCAGTTTTGCGGAATTTAGACCACAGTTCGTATGATCTTACTGAAGATGAATTGAGTTGTAGGAGCCTAAATCTGCCAAACCGCACGCACTGCCGGCAACAGAGTTTGTCGCCCAGTGAGCTATAGTCTAAACTCCTTAAAGGGGGCTAGATAGGGGATGATATAGGGGAAATCATAGGGCTTATTGAGGGTGCCAGGAGTTTAGACTATAGCTCAAGTGGGGTTCCTTCCCCAGAAGCCCGGCCTCGAACCGCTTCAAGATCCCCGGAAGCCACGTGTTTAGCACCTCCTTAGACCCTTTGTCATAACTCCTGTGTCAAGCCCCTTTGCAGGAGATTTATACCATCGATGAGCTGCTTGAGGCGTTCAAGATGGAGCGCATGAGCAAGGCGAAGACTTCATGCACTTCTTTTTCCAAATGCCTCCCTCACACTGACATGGAACCGTGAGTCGGGCCCTTTCAAAAGGGCAGTAGTCTTAGTAGGGCAACATTTGGGTCCTGTACTTGTTCGGGGAGTGTAGGTTTGCAGCTGTTCCTGACAAGGCAGAATACGCAGTTGACTCAATTTGGGTGTGTTGGCCAGATTGTGTGCTCAGCCTGCTGGAGTGTGATACAGGCTTCTGTGGCTCAAAATGACAGGCACCTCGAAGCAAGGACAAGCGGGAGTCAACATGAGTATTGGCAGGACTGTAGCTTACCTACCACTCAAGTCGCGCTGTGTTTTGGCAGAAGATCCTGGATTGCGAGAGACATCCTATATATAACCCTCTATGATCGTCCCTGCAACCTATCTGATTCGTTTCCATTATGTGTTGTAGGGAAAGTGCATTCTCTCAGAGTGCATTCTCTCAGCACCACTTCTCACGTGCCCATGACGCGCCCTAAAGCCTAAAGCCCGTCACAGGTGGCCGCCATCTTCGACACCGACAAGTTTAAGTGGGTGACTGGGTTGCCATTAAGGAACTTAAGTTAACTTACTATAGTAAAGGGCACATAGGATGATTTAGGGTTTAGGGTGACTATCATACGGAAACCCTATTATCTATTTTTGCCCATATCATGGTAACTTAAGTTGAGTTTCTGAACAACAGCCCAGGTGAACGGGCATCATGTACGGAGGCTAAGCGATGACGAGGCCAGGTCGTCGTGTTGAAGTAGAAGTGGAAATCATTACCGATTTGGTGGTCCTAGATTCCTGGTATAATCATGGTATAGGGTACCTCACCAGGGTACCTCAAATAGAACCTCCACATGACGTTGGTAGTCGTTCAGGCTAGTTGTCATGGCCACTGAGTAAAGCCAGTTTCGATTTCATGTTCCTTCCATCATTGGAGTAATACATCCCTAAACCCGTAACCGATCCTTGTTAGTACTAGGTCTTAGGAGGACCCCCCCTCCCTATAATAGTGGTATAGCAGAAACTGATCAGACCCCCAATATAATCACAAGCTCCAAGGCGTAGGGTTTAGGCCCTAAACCCTAAAGCCTTAGCCCTAAGCCTTGAAGCTTGTAGGCTTGCTTACTGGCTCTTAGTTAGAGAATAAGGGAAAATATTGGGGTTATTTAGGGACCAAGGAAAAGAACATGGAAGCAACTACATTATAATAGCGTATGTTTTGGGGGTTGTAGTAGGGAATGAGGGAAGATAGTATGTAGGGGCCATATGGGATTATATTCCCTTATTCCCTACGAAGAACTTGTGAATTAGTTGCAGGTTCATGGCAATTCTACCACTAGAGTAGCAGACGTAGGGGGCCTGCACGCAGGGTCTAAGGGCCTAAACCCTGCGATCCCAGAGTATTCGCTAAGACCCTTACCTAAAACATTAAACCTGAGACCCGTACCTAGAACTCCAAACCCAAAACCCTAAACCCTAAACTCAAAACCTAAAACCCTGAAACCTAATGGGTGGGGATTTTGCCATGATTTACTTCGCCAGTTGGAGATTCCTTACAGCAGGCTCCGGCTGCCAAAAAAGATTCCGGTATCGTAGGGGTCAGCAGTTCAGAGTCTTACATGCCCCTGAGCTCTACTCTGAACTCTGTAGTGTTTAGGGTTTAGGGTTCAGGGCTTAGGGTTTACCCTGACCTGTAGTTACTGGAGGCAACTCTGTTGTAGATTTGAGGACATCCAAAAGCCCACCTTCTGCGCTGGGAATCGCAAAAAAATGGGATCCTACGTGATGCACCCTGTGCCCTTGACCCTAGGTCCTAGATCGTAAACAAACCTTAGACCCTAAAACCTAAACTAAACTTGGAAGCCCAACTTGAAGGTTCCCTACTATAACCCCAAGATATATCCTATTAGGATCTGGTAGCGTCCATCTGCTTTTCCATTATCCCTGTATAATCCCAATGGATCTAAACTTTGAACCCCAAACTTGCCTAAACCCTAAACCCTAAAACCCAATTCTTGAAGGCCTTGGAGCTCATCGGAGCCCGTTTGCAGGAGCAGGGTCTGGTGAAGGAGGCTTGGGAACGTTGGGCGGTTTAGGGGGGTTTAGGGTTTAGGGTTTAGGGTATTGGGGGTTTAGGGTTTAGGGTTATCTTACCTGACACTTATTGGCGGGCTAGTAAGGAAAAAGGGGATTTTTAGGGTGTTGGGTTAGGGTTAGTAAGGAATAAGGGAATATTTTATTATATAGGGTTTAGGGTCAGTAGGGAGTAAGGGAATGTATTGGGGTTATATTGGGATAGTAGACAAGAAAACGGAAGCTACTACATTATAATGGGGTAGATCTTCGGGGTATAATAGGGAATAAGGGCATATAGTCTTAGTATATAGGGGTTATATAGGGTTCAACTTTGAGGTGTTAGATGAGTTGATTTCGGGGCTTGCGGGCATTATGCATCTAAAGATCTTCTGTTCTAGGACTGCTTGGCGGCCATTTTGACATAGGGGTGCTTCGTGTGGAAACAGTGATGCATGACGATCTTGATAGACAGTGAGTTGACTGCTTGCTGGAAGCCAACCCGCAATCAAACAAGAAATCCAGATTAGCCTTAACATCCAAGCCCTTCTGATTGGCGGCACATAGGTAACAATCTCGATGATTCTTTGGGATGCAGTGGCGTGCAAGGTAAGATATCGCAGACAGGTCACGGGTGCTCAAAGCCTGTTTAGGGTTGCACGCCGGGGAAGGTCATGCAGGTCTCCTTTCTATCCTTTCTTTTGGACCCTAAACCTAAATCCTGAGCCCTAGACCCTAAGCCCCAAGCCCTAAATCCTAAGCCCTGAACCCTAAACCTAAGCCCTAAACCCTAAGCTCTTTCCACGACCCATGAAGCAACGATGCGCTTCTCCAGCCCACAGCCTTCAGGCACAGTGCCCCAAAAGAATCGCAAAGATTTGCTAGCTTTTCAAGAAACCCTAAGGATCCAAGTATACAAATATTACCTACATTGAGCCCAAAAGTCTGTAAGTATTACCTACATTGGGCTTTTTGGATCCCTAGGGAAAGGCCATCAACAGCAAAATCTCTGTTCAAATTTGGGAGCGCGGGAAGCCCTAAGTTTACCACGCAACTTAAGCCCAGTACGCCATGAAGCTGTTACGCTCAAACCTCGAACCCTCAATTATGCACATGGCGGGCCGCAAACCGCAAGTCACAAAATTCACTCACCAACTAGGATGTAGAGGCCTTATCAATCTTATTCACCTATGGTTCTCAGAATCAACTTTGTCGAGCATAGCCCAACACCTGACACACCAACGTGCGTTGCTGCTAGGGAACTTAAACCAAGTTACCATAATATGGGTATATAGTAAATATTACGGGTTTCCTTTTTATAGTAACTTAGCTTAGGTTCCTTAATGGCAACCTAGCAACATGAAGTGTGCTTTCGGCCAGGTGTCCGGTGAGTTCGTCAAGAAGGCTTCCCAGCTGCCGGGAGCTTGGAAGGTCGTATCCACCCCGCCACATCTTCTTAAGGCTCAGAGTTTATTACCAGTACTTAGGGTTTGGGGGGGTGGTCATTTTGGAGCTTACATTCCTAACCTTTAAGGAAATTTGAGAACCCTACGTAATGCAAATTATCTATGGGCTTGAGGGTGTAGAGTTTAAGTTTAGGATTTAGGGTTTCCAGGCCTGGGGTTTGGGACTTACTTGCACAGGGTTTTAGGATTAGGGTTTTGGGTTAAGGGCTTTAGGCCGGGTTTCCGCAAATTGGGGGTTCTGGGTTACAGGAGGTAGTACAGGGGTAGATAGGGCTTACGGATTGTGAGTTTGGTGTTGGCCTTTCTTTTGCAGTCTTCTACTTGCGCTACATCTCAATGCGCCATACAACCTTATATTCAGCACTTTCATTTTCCAATTTCTTATGTAGTAGATTTTCCACTATTCCGTTCATGTACCTTGACCCTGAATACCCTGTAGAAGCTTCTGTTTCATTGTCCATTCCTCCTGTCCATCCCGAACATGACTACATAGCTTCCATTCCCCATTCTTCTGATGAAGCCTTAAACACCTAAACCCTAAAGCCTAACCCCTGACCCCTACACTCCTGTAAGCCATGACCCCTAGACCCTAAACCCCTAAACCCTAAACCCTTCACCCTGAACCCGATTTAGGAGGGGATACTCCTGAGGAGAAAAGGTCCCACAAAAAAAACAACAACTATATAGGCCCCTGCATCCCTGGTCCACCCAGGCTCAGGGAGCGAATTAGCACCCTCGAAGAAGCCGTCGAGGCTGCGCCTTTCGAATAAGCCCCCCTGTAAGGGAGTTTGGTGTACAAGGTTTCTTTGGGCCCCTTCCAGGGGTACTATAGGGTTTAGGGATCAAGTTGTTTTAAAGGTTGAGGGTTTTTTTTTATTCTGGAGGCGTTTTAGGAACTTTTTGGGGGTCCCTCTTATGAGACTTTCTGTGGCATTATTGTGACAAACTCCCAGATATCAGCGGACATGGTTGTTGGATGCACTACACCTCTGCAGACTAAGCATCGTGCCATAAAACTGTTCGTTCTGCATATCTACATGGAAGCGTGCGCATACATGTACGTAGACGAAAACCTTAGGAAGCCTAGGAAGCATTTAGCTATAGGCATTTTGTTTCTTTACAATAAGAACCCCTACCTCAATATTTAAATGCTTCATACTTCCTAGTCCCCCTAAGATCTGTGAATGATTGTGCCGCGTCTTCGCCAGGAACTGGTCTCCATGCTTGAGTTCGACCTGGAGGTGGCTAGGGATGGGATAGCCCATATGAGCTACGGACGGAATTTAGGTTGGGGGGGACCTATTATGGAGTATATAGGGTTTTGGGGGGGACCTACTAGGGGATATACTACAAATTTAGTCCAGGGCTCATCTTGCTTTCACTGTTGTTGTTGCTGCTGAAGCTGCAGCTGCAGCTGCCGCTTTTGTGTCTCACATACGAGTTAAACCTCTTGACTACAATGACGTCTGTGTGAAGGCTATTTTGCCGCCACTGCGTTGATTACAACATGAAGGGCTATGATTCCTGCCATGATTATCAGCACCATGATGACAAACGATCGGGTATCAAACTGCCTTACCTCTTCTTGTTAACATCATTCGGGGTTGTAGCAGTACTAGAAGTAGAAGTAGTAGCAGCAGCACTAGTCGTCGTCCTCCTCCTCTCAGTCCCACTTGTAGTACCGGTACTGGTACTTGAACTGTACAAGTACTAGTACCGGTACATTTGCTGCTGCTGCTGCTGCTGCTGCTGCTGCCGCTGCTACGCCAGGGCATGATGGCCAAGGATGTGGCCAAGCCTTACATGGAGGCTGCGCACTCGAAGCCCTAGATACTACGCAAACGTGAAGCCCACAAAGTCGCCAGATATTGTTTTACCTTGAACCCTAAACCGTAAACCTAGCTGGGATAGATCTGCGGCTACAAGGGTAGACCTGCAAGTGTAAGTAAGCAGGTCGCCATTGCCCCCGATCACACCTGCCGTCCGCCTAATCAAGGTCAGGGGCAGAGATAAGAAACTCTCAAGCTACGTCCAGGTCAGAACCCATGGGCCCTCATGGTTCTAGGTTTAGATTAGACTGGCATTTCGCAATACGCATGCCCGGTGTGGGATATGGGGCAGAGTCCCAGTGTTTCTTGCGGCTGCGACTATGCATTCTGAGTCTTTTCCGTAGACAGGCCTCAGTGGAGTAGTTGCGGGAGGGTTGTGTCCAGCCAGATTCTTCCCTACAAAGCCATGAGTGGCATCAAGGACTTATGAAATCTTTCTCATGCTGTAGTTTGGAAGGAGAGCGCCGCAACTAGGCCCCATTTCTGGAGTTTGGCCTTACGTGATGGCAAGGTTCGAGCTCAGAACCCTCAATTCTGAGCTGATATCCCTGGGTTTAGGGTTTAGGGTTTAAGCCAAATCCTATAGGTGCTATAAACTCTAAACCCTGAACCACCCAGGCTCCTATCTAGACCAAGCGATCCTAAACCTGAATCCTACTCCCCAAATCCTACACTTCAGATTCTCAACCTGAAGCTTTAATCAGGTACGCCGCACATGTATGTATATATATATATTTATACACAACGGCAATTGTTATAGGGGTTGTATACACCTTGTATACATACATACATATATATATATACACACATATTATTGTATAGCGGTTATATATACATATATATGGAGCGTAAGCTGGGTAACGAAGGATGGCGCCCTCCACGAAACTGCAAAACTACTCCTTCGAGCGAAGGACACCGAGAATTAATGTTATCAGTAGTATTCTTCTCATGTTCATTATTAGTTATTCTTGTCATTTTTATTTTTATTAGTAGTGGTACTGGAGACTATCATTGTAAGATGGGCATCCATTGTGGCTCGTATGGTTGGAAGAAATGACCTTCCTCTGGGCTGTTTGCTATGACATTTCTTCGGCATGTGTCATGGTTGAGGGTCTGCGTCTGTGCTTGTCGCGGATGCCTTGAAGCTTCCCTTGTCTTGCTGGCCAGAGATGGAATAAGCCCACTTGCGGACTTAGCAAGCCTTTATTCTCAAGCCTTCATCCTTCTTACCCTCATGCTCAGTACCAATGCATGCGTGGCCCAATCACGTGACAGCGTTAAAAGAGCTCAAATTGAAATTCCCGAGCCGAATATCTGAGACTAGGTTCCAAAAATCCTATCATCCTGAAATCCTACGTCTGAAGTCCCAAGCTCCAAGAAGGGAGACTCCTCAAGTCCCGGTACTTCCAATCCCAGCTCCTTATTGCGGGATATCAAGGAGCAGGGCGATTTCGACGCTATCGGGCAGGACCCACAGGCCAGTCGATAGCTGGGCGGCCCTAAGCCCTAAACCTTAAACCCTACCTAGACCCCCCAAGTACCCTCTATAGACCCTAAGTATCCCCAAATAGAAGCTACATAGACCCTATTTTAGTGTACTTGGGGGGTCTAGGTTAACCGCGCAGTTTAGGGTTTAGGGTTTGAGGCTTGATGCACTCTAGCTCCCTCAGTAGGTCTACCGAGCCTTCACCCAGATGGCCTACTTGGAGGGTCAGGGGTACTGAGTAAGGGATAAACGGGCTTATTATGTGGCTAACAGCTTGTTTTTAAGAAGTATACTTACTTGGGTGTTTCCGAAAATTAGGGATACCATTTTGGGGTCCCAATAATAAGGACTATAGTAGTTTTGGGGTCCACATTGGGGTCCCCTTATTTATGGAAACTGCCACTTACCAAGTCCGACCCTTGAAGTGGCCTTTGATGGTGGTACGAAACGGCGGTCTTGTACCTTTTGGGCACGTTTGCAGGTTGTAGTGGCTTTGGACGCATCTTCAACTTCCTGCTGAGGGCCACATGAGGGTTGTTTTAGGGTTTGTAGGGTTTGGAGTTGAGGATGTATGTAAAACCTAAAAATCACCCTAAGTATATGCAAGCACAGACCTAGCTGACATGACAGGTGATGAAGAAGATTGCGAAGCAGATTGGAGAGGCCGGGCCTACACCACAGTTCTTCAAAGTTGGGGGGCTTCCTAATGTTAGGGGTACCCTTTAGGGGGTTCCCATAATAAGGATTGGGGTCCCCCCTATCTAGGGAGACTACCATGTAAGGCGTGTTGATTGTAGCCTAGACATGCGCCTTACGAAAGTCCAGGTCCTGTCACACCGCAGGCAGTTTTATCAGCAATCTCACACAGTAATGCAGTCTACTTGCACTTGGTTTCTTCTGCTGCTGGAGTATTGGGCGCTGCTCTGCAGATGGTGGTATTGGTATAACTTAGTTACAGATGATAGATACATATACACACCTGGTCTCAGTCCCCTTAAAGCCTAAGCCCCTAAGCCCACTATCCCTTGATCATCCCAGTCTCCATCTGATTGTCCATGGTCGCGGCTTAGGGTTTAGGGTTCTATTCAGGGACCATATACACGTACGTGTACCCTTAGTGTTTCGTAGTGTGCCAGCCTTGGTCGACAAGTACCTTGTTCGTGCTCCTTGGAGTCTTGTAGCCATGTTTGTTTTTGTTGGCAGCAAGGGATCATAGCCAAAGTATTCATTATTCTTGTTTGTAGTAGCGGTAGGAGGAGTGAGAGTAAGAGTACGACTTAAGAGTAAGACTAGCAAGAGTGACCTAGGAGCAGTAATGGTAGTACCAGTTTCATGGGAATAGCAGTGCCGAGAATAAAAGTACTAGTACTAGAAGCTCCCGACTGCCCTTCCCTCCTCACTTTACTATTACTCTTGCTCCTCTTGGGTTCCCTTAATTGGGCTCATTCGGGATAAGGGTTATTTAGTTGATTAAGGGGACACCGGAAGGGGGGGAGTATGGGTAGTAGAGAAGCCATGATGCAATGATGTCACAAGTTCCTCCCACTCACCCGACCCTCTGATTATAGGTGACGGGGAGCCCAAAAGAGATCAAGGTTATGCTTTAGTAGAGTTGTTGTGTTTCCATGGCAAAACTGTATCTTAGTGACCTTCATGTGCCACAGGCGTTGCATTTACAGCGCCTAGCAGTTATACGATACTATCCTATAATATCCTATAATAGCCTTTAGTATGCTACAATTTCCTATGCTACACGATAATATCCTAGAATGCACTGTTTGTAAAAGCTTTTTTGGCGAAGATCTGGCTCCTGACCGTGGCCGCCCCGCCTCCCTCGCCTCTTCTCTGTAGAAGACCTTCCCATGCTTTCAGAAGAACATTCCATAATATATCCTGGTATATTATATTTTGGTGTAAATATAGTGTCGATTATAGCATGCTTGGAGAAGAATACCTTAGGGTTATATAGGGATACTGGAAAAGAAAATGGAAAATATACCTTACAAACTATAATAGAGTAGATTTGGGGGATATGTACTAGGGGTAAGGGAAAAGAACATGGAAGCTACTATTTAGGGTTTAGGGTTGGTTAGGTGGACCCCCCGCCCTGGAGTAGTGACTATCAGGGATAAAGGCGATTATAGTAGGGTCCTCTAGCGTTCCTATTATGGACCATTATTGCGGAGTGGGAGGTCCTCCTAAAGAAGACCTTGTTCTGAAAACCTTTTGAGCTCCTTGTGGCAGGCGCGCGGAGGCGTGAAGAAGAAGGCTCTTCTTGTCCCTTTTCGTGGCCAGCTCAGTGGGGTTTAGGGTTTAAGGGTTTGAGGATTTACGGCTCAAGATGGGCATGCGCAAAAAGTATGATCAACTTCTTTGAGGGTTTGATGTGGGATACGCTTGTAAGAGGCCAGCATCAGTGAAACGGCGCTAGTTTTTCAACGGAACTGCCCCTGAAGTTCTGCAGCTCTGAGCTTTCCGGTGCTTGAGGGAGAGTGGGGGGAGTGCATTCTTATAATAAAGGTCCCTGTAGGATTTAGGGTCTAAGGTTTAGGGTATCTGTAGTTGTTTTTCATGTTTGTTATGGTATAACCCTACGGAACTATCAAAACATGTTTACATCATAGGTCTAGGGGATTGCAGATGTAGTCCTCTCCGAAGGTGCTTGTATTCCCTCCCCCACACCCCCTTAAGGTCCAGTAAGTCTAGGAAGTAAACAGCCTGAAAGCCCTAAACCCTAAACCCTATATAACCCCATTGTCGTGGTTCCATCTTCTTTTTCGGTATCCCGAAGCCCTAAACCGCATAATTGGCTCTGAGGGCTGTGCTTGACCTCTTCGGCTTCAGGCCAGATCCGATGGCTTTCGCACTGCCTCCCCCCATGGGAAAGTGGGGAATTATCGGGGATGTATGGGGATTCTGGAGGCATGTTGATTGGGTTTCTTGGGGTTTAAGGGTTTAGGGCAGAGGTATATATGGAAATATTTCTCCAATGACAATGGAGTTTCACATCGAACGGGAGATGAAATGTTGATCGGTAAGCAGCGGGGGCTGGATTATCCTACACCCCCAACCCTAAGAACTAAGCGGTGCGTGCCTTTCAGCCCAGAATCAGGCAAGGGCCCGCAGGGCGTTGTTTTCTTTGCTAGCCGCGCAAATTGATTCCCTAATTGGAGGTTCCTTGCAGCTTTAAACTCATGTAATGTCGACCCATGATTAATAAACCCCTCGTTTTAAGGGCATAAATATAAGGATCCCTATTACAATCCCAATCAAGGAGAAGGGGTTTATTAATCATGGGTCTGGGTTATGGCTCTTCTTGGCCACCTGTTTAGGGTTTAGAGTTGAGAATGCTAAACTTGTTGGTGGTTAGCAGGGACTAAGGGACTATTTGATCAAGGGGTTTTATAGGTTGTACAGTATAGTCTTGTTCCCTACTTACCACCATTGAGTAAACCCTAACCCGCAAACCTAAATCCCAAACCCTAACCCCTAAACCCGAATAAGCCTCAACCCCC